CCATTCATCCATCCTTTGATGCATGCATCCCCCACCCACGCGCAGTACGAGGTGGCCAACCAGGACCACAGCCTCATGCTGGGCGTCGAGGCCGCAGACAACATGCTGTTCGGCACAGCAGAGGTCACCCTGCACCACCCCAACGCCGTCAACGCCTCGAAAAACACAGAGCTGCGGTACACCGCGCCGCCGCAGTGAGTGGCCCTCTCGGCCGGGGTGCGCGGCGACGAGGGCGTCCTCCTTGGCGAGTCTTGGGGCGCCGATGGGACTCTTCCGTGCGCCTTCCTGCAAGCGAGGTCGGCCCTTTGCAGGGTGTGTGCGGTGTGGCTCTAGTTGAGGTGTGCAATATGTCATCGTTTTGTGTGCGTGTCAATTTGTGTCGTGTTGGGGGATGAGATTAGGCCCTGCGCACTCTGCGTTTGCCTGCACTCCCGTAATCACTGGCCTGTGTCGCTCATGGTGGATCGCGATTTCGCAGCGCCGAATCCTTTGACCTTGTGGCAATCACATTGACTCCTGCCCTTTCTGCACGCACGCCGCGAGGCGCGCTTCAGTTGTTTGTGCTGACGCTTTGGCACTTGCTTTGCCTGCACTGCTGTGATGGTGCCTCACTTCGCCGTGGTAACAGCCTCCCCCCCCCCCCGTGTGACACCTGTTCAAGTTGAGACCTTGCCACTGTGCTTCACCATGTTCTTCAGCCCCCTTGCCCCCCATATCGCTCAGGCGGCTGATATGCGGCGAAGAAACCAGGTCATTTCCGTCCTCAATCATGGGGCCCACAGCTTGCGCCCACCTGGCTGTGATGATCAGCAGCCAACCTGAACCTGCCAGACGGGAAGCTTCCTCCTCATCCCGAACGATCGTGGTGGCAGTGCTGCTTGCTTTGTGGGCCGAATCGGCTTGGCCCCAGCCGTCATTCTACTGGTACAGATTTACTTTGAGGATGACATCTGCGGCCAATGCTGTTGCCACCCGCCCTCTCACCGCCAATTCTGCGATCCCGACCCCGCCCCGCCGCCGAACGACGACGACCCTACCCCCCACCGCCCCTGCTGCCAGCTCGCCCGCCGCGCGTCCAGGGCGACGCCGCCGCCATTGGCGCCGCGCAGGGCCGCCGCCTCTGCGGCGCGGCGG